ACATAGGGATTCTTTTGCATTTTCTCAATTTCCAAATTCTCCTTTGGGCACTGATTGAGACTAAACTTGTCCCCCTTTAAACTTGTGATACACACAATCATCAACAATATTCATCTCGAAGTCAAATGAGTTTCATACCTTCTGGTAATGGGACAAGTTCCCAAACCTTATTGTCTTGCATGGACTTATACTCCTCCTTCATTGGTTCAATCCACTTTTGAGAGTCAGAACCTTGCATAGCTTGATGAAAGTTAGCTGGGTCATCTTCCATTATATCGTTGTTTTCCTCATGTCCCTAAAGAAATACCATGTAATCATCTGAAATAGCACTTCTTCTTTCTCTAGTGGATCTCCGCAAAGTTATTGGCTAATGATGCACAGGTTCTTAAGGATCTTGAGTTTATTCTTCATGAACAACCAAATCGTCTTGAGTAAGGGGTCCATTAATAATGTCTTGTGGAGGTTTTGAACTTACTTTAACAAAAGTAACTATTTGAATCGGTTCTGGAATTGTTACCGATTCTTCCTCCAAGACAAAGTTCTTGGTCTTATACTTCCCCCAAAACTCAATATCCTCAAAGAACGTAGCAGTTCCTATCTCAAAAATTGTCTTTAATATGGTATCATAAAATTTATATCCCCTGTATCTTTCAGCATAACCAATAAAATAACTACTTACTGTTCGGGAGTCCAATTTCTTTTCATTTGGCTTATAAGGCCTTGCCTCAGTTGGACATCCCCACACATGAAAATGCTTCAGACTAGGCTGTCGCCCAGTCCAAAGCTCGTAAGGAGTTTTGGTAGCTGTTTTAGTTGGTACTCTGTTTAGAATATAAATTGTCGTCTTTAGTTCCTCTCTCCAAAGTGACTCCGGTAAGGTGGAATGACAAATCATACTCCTGACCATATCTTTAAGAGTCCGGTTTCGTCTTTTAGCTACATCATTCATACTAGGTGATCCCGACATGGTATACTGTGGGACAATTCCACACTCCTCTAGGTACCTGGCAAAAGGTCCTAGACGCTGTTCACCTGACCCGTCATATCTGTCATAGTACTCACCACCACGATCAGACCTGACAGACTTAATTCTTTTGTTAAGTTGATTTTCAACTTCATCTTTAAATGTTTTGAATACGTCCAGAGATTGTGATTTTTCATGTATAAGAAATAAATATGCATATCGTGAGTAATCGTCTATGAATGATATAAAGTATTGTTGACCATTCCACGAAGGTGTAGGAAATGGCCCACAAATGTCCGTATGTATTAACTTTAAGACGTTTGTAGCTCTATATGCACCTAATCTCTTCGCTCTGGTCTGTTTGCCCTTAATGCATTTAACACAAACATCAAAGTTTGTGAAGTCAATGGACTCTAAGATTCCATTTAACACAAGTCATTCAACTCTATTTTTAGATATGTGACCTAAGCGCCTATGTCATAATGCTCCTGAGTGAGTATCATCAATTTTACGTTTAGTATCCCGTGATTTTGTATTAAGGGTTTCATTATAGGTGGTCACAATATCAAGTAAATACATATTATCATTAGTCAAAAGTGAACCAATTCTAACAATATCTGAATTAAAAGACAAACTGAACTAATGAACACAAATAACCTAATTTGTCTAAATAAGAAACTGAAACCAGATTTTATCTAAATGACGGCACAACAAAAGTGTCTTTTAAATCCAAATAAAAATCAGTACTTAATAACAATTTAAAGTGCCCTATAGCTTCCACCTCTACCGATTGTCATCTCCAACATATATCCATTTTTTTTAAGAATCAATTGGCTTCCGGTAGCTTAGGCAACCCTTCATAGAAACACTGATGTTAGTAGTTGCACCTGAGTCTAACCACCAAGTGTTACTAGGTACTGACGCTAAATTGACTTCAGAACAGACCAAAGTAAGAAATATACTTTTGAGGATTGGAACAAATTTTAAATTGGTAGATATAGAAGCAATTTTAGCTGAATTTAGAACACGAGAAATAAACTAATTATGCTCACATTATATTAAAAAATAAATAATTATAAATATATATTCAAATAATGGTTTAACCCATCTCAAGACACCCAATGCACCATCAATATCAAGTCTTTGGACAGTAATATTAACTGCTAAAGGTATTTTATTGTAATAATCAAACATTGGCAATAAAGCACGTCAAACAACAAACCAGTCTTTGGATTGATTTATCATCGACAAAGCAAATCCTTATAATTATCACATGTTTATCATTACAAGTGTGTATGCAATTCGGCCAAATATTAATCTTCCTTTGGGCCAACTAATACTCACATGAATATACACAAACACTAACATTCAATATTTTTCATGAACTGCCCAATTCAAAAGAGGTTACTTTGGTGACTTCTTGACTCAATTTGCTCACAAAAAATATTAAACTACCAAAAAATTGAATATTTTATTTATATAACAAAACCAAATATTTAATATTTGCAAACTAATTCAAAAGATAATCACTTTATTAGAATTTTATTAAGGATGAACATCTCCCTAGAATCCCATTAGGGATGAACACCTCCTTTGAATAAATCAAAGGATGAAAGCACCTCTTTTTCCACCAATGCATAAAGGATGAACATCTCCCTAAAATCACACTAGGGATGAAACAGAGATAGTTATGAGTCTCTTTAACATACTGCTCTAAACCCTAAAAGGGGATTAAACAGTAATCACTCAAACCCTAAACAGGGAATTTAACATCAACTTTTTCTAAAGACAATAAAATAAGAACAGTCACACCTGTGGAAACATTTACCATTTACCTAAAATTCTCTGTGTTGGGAACTCCACAAACATCACCCCCAATTCCAAACCCATCCATATCCACCATGAAAAGAAAACGAAAACAAAACCCAGAAAATTAAATAAAAACAAAATCAAAAGATTCAAAGAGAACAGAGAACTCAATACAAGAAAGATTGAAATTTAAAACACTATTTCTTTCTCAGTAAAACTTGAAACTTAAACTGAAACAAAAAAAGGAAAAAACGAAGAAGAAGAAGAATTCATAGCTTCCTCTACGGTTCCATCAGCAAGCAGATTGGGATGTTACCCCCAAATTCAAATTTTAGGACTCACACAAATTGGAGATTATATAAATTAAACAGAATCTGAATTTTTAAATATTTTCTAAGACAGACATGAATCAAGTATGAGCGGCTCTGATACCAATTGTTGGAAAACTAATAATAATAATAATAATCCTGATTTTGATTCTAACGATCAAACATAAATATAATTTCATACTGATAAATATGTTGTAAACTGAATGCGAAAGCATACCTGAATTAACCATAATGATGATGTCTTTGTAGAACACTATATTGATCTTATGGTCTTCCACCTGATGAGCACATATATTTCCCTCTTGATTTTCTCTCTTGATGGGGATAGAAAGAAAGGAACGGGACTAATACTTACGTTCTGTGTGTGTGCTTCCAGAAGGGGACCATGACCCTTTAAATATCCAAAATTAGGTTAATTACTTAAGTTTTAGTATTTCTAATTTGACCCCTCATCAAATTAGAAATTACTCTATGGTCTCTACACAATTTTATTTTCATGATATATGTCTTTAGTCAAATCTTTAATTTAGTCAGATCACTTTATTATTTGACTTAATAAATAATGGCACTAACACATTTAAATTATATATCATATATATACATGTCCCAAATTTTGCTAAAAATAATAATACTTAATATTTTGCTAACACGTCTCTAATATTACACTACAAGAATTTTACATATTAGCTATGACACATTCCGTAGCTATTTTATAGATAATCTCTCGCTGGTATGTTTTGCTACAGATTAGCTACGGAATAGCTATGGAATAGTCCGTAGCTAAATCCAAGTAGCTAATTAGATACATATGTATTCTCTCTCAAACTTGTAGCAAATTTTGTCGCTAAACTGTCGCTAAATCCCTCGCTAATTTAAATGATGAAATTTTGTTTATCTCTAGCTAATTTGATCTCCCAAAACTTGTAGCTAATCCGTAGCTAATTTCTTGCAAATTCACTCTCGCTAATCCGTAGCTAATTCCTCGCAATTTCACTATCGCTAATTCGTAACTAATCTCTCACAATTTTTCTCTCGCTAATCCGTAGCTAATCCCTCGCAATTTTTCTTTCGCTAATCTATAGCTAATCCCTGACAATTTATCTCTAGCTAATATGTGGTTAATACCTCGCAATTATTTTTTCACTAATCCGTAGTTAATCCTTTGCAATGTTTCTCTCATCATTTCATAGCTAATCCCTCATAATTTTTATCAAAATTTATAATATCAAATATTTAGGATTTAAATTATTACTCATATTCTTAAAAAAAGAAGACAAACTTATAACTTTCAATATAAAAGTATTGTTTAAACATACTTATTTTTTTTTCTCTCATAACTGCCTGAAACAGAACACAAGCAGAGTAATTCTCTCATAACGTTGTCACTTTTTTTCTTCTTGACGTTTATAATTAAAATAAAAATACAAATAAACCAATCATATTCTACTTCAAACCCAAAAATATTCATCTAATTGAACTAACAATTGAGAATTTCAGAAGTAACCAAACTAGCCACTCAAAACACAATGCAATTTCATACAAAAATGAGTTAAGCTTCTGAACCAGAAACACGATCTTGTTCAAATAGAATATAACAACTACCGCTGGAGGATTTAATTTAAAAATGTACTGAGTAAAAGAAAAAACAAATAAGTAACTCTCATTACAGAAAAGAAAACATGAAGAAAAGAGAATAAAACATGAATCACCACCATCCATAGAGAGCTTGAGTGTATGTATTCTTGATCCACCTGAAACTCTTTCTTAGAGAGCCTTTCATTTTGCCTTCTGCAGCATATATTTTATAGCCAGCAACTCTCTTCTTCCTCTGCAACTCAGGGTCACTGAAGCTCCAACTTTTTGATGGTTTAGCAGCTGTCCTTTTCTCCTCTCTTCACCTTCACCTCCTTACCAGTGCTACCTATCTGGTGTGCACGACCAGAAGAAGCATTTTTAGCACTCTGACACCTCAGATCTTGCATGCTTGTTGGGGCCACCTTGCCTCCACCGTTGCTTTCAATCTGGAGCCTTTCATCTCTGCATGACTTGGATCTGAACTCCATGATCATGCCAACCATAATACCCCGAGAGTAGTAAGAAAGAACAAGTTCAAACAAAAGGGTTGAAGGCTTTGCTTTTTTGTAGCTGAATGTTAATATTGTTTATTGCTTCTCTTACTTTAAGTTAAACCAAATTATAGTGTTACTCTTTTACATAACAGTTCAAGTTCATTTAGTTAATTTATCTTTTAAAAAGATTGTGATATTAAATTGAAAACTCTTTCCTTAATTTATATAATAAAATCTTTTGAGAAAATGAGTAGGGTAGGGTAGGACTGATCCAACTATCTTTGCAGAGCAAAGTTGCATGAGGCATTTGGATTCACCACCTTTCACACGTGCAAGTGTTAAAATTAACAGTTAACTGGAGCAAGGAATATATGCTACTATGATACCCCATTTTTTAGAAATATAAACTGAAAATCATATAATATTTAAATAACGAAATGACATTTTTTATTACTACCCTTTATGCTTTAGGTACGAAGAAGTTAAAAGAAGAGGAGAATCACCCATCAAATCTAAACAGAGAGTGAAGATGGTAAATGAATATTCCCTTTAACCCCCCCCCCATGCAATAATAACAATCTGCGAGTAGAAAAAGTGGGATTCACCATAGTTCACAAAATCACAAGGAAGCTATACCTATATAAACATGCTTCCTCTGAATATTTTTTCTCCATCTATCCAACACATATTTACAGGGGATCTCCTTCACTCTCTCTTGTGACAGTACTGCAAGCCAGTGCCTACAGAGTATACCTCTGAACTCAAACAAGCGACAATTGCATCTTACATCACAACCTTTCCTGTCTACTTGTATACGCATGACGGATATGTTGTTTAACAACTATGAGGTTTCCACCATTTCACTGTAGATTGCAGCATGACTGTATACAATAGAGCGAATTATTAACCTAAAACATCATGAAAACATGAAGGAGTAAGAATTGAAAACCTCTTGCCGGTGATTTGACGCTGTTACTGCAGCCGAGTAAGACCACTAGTACCATTCCCATTAAGGCGCTCCTTCACGGACCTCCGCCCTCCATTCTCCACGAGATCAGCGTACATTTTTTGTCATTCACTCGGTTCGAAATCGGAAGAAGAATTATGAACCCTAAATCGAAGAAGAGAGACAGAGAGTGTGAAACGGAATGGAAGTGATCACGGTTCGCAGAGGAAGAGGCAGGGAACCGCAATGCGGATATCGTAGCAGAGAATGAAAACCCTAACAACCCATTTTCTTCGTCGTGAAAGGGTGTTGAATTTTGAATGGAAAACAATGGCAACGGTTTGTCTCAGGAAATTGGAGTTTAAAGGAAAGGGAAAAGATTCTGAATCGAAGGATTGGAAGAGTTGAACGATTGTTCCTCTGTGGCGTGAGGTTTTGATTTTGCGAAGAGAAAAAGAGGATACTTGTTTGGTACGGAAGTAAGAATGATTTCAGCTTATTAATTTTGACGCCCCTAGGGGAAACGTTGCAAACACTGCCAACAGGGGAAAATAATGCTAGTTTAAGAGTTTAATAATTGTCTAAACGGTGGGTTATTTAATCTACCTTGTTTAATTTACAAAACAGATTTTATTTGTGGACTCTTTAAGTTTTTATTATTTAATATAAAAATATTAATAAATAAGAGGAATAAGTTATGTAAAAATAATTTTTTTAAAAAAGTTACGTGAAATTTTATTACTCTTTTTATGATTCACTAATTATTAAATAGGGATATAATACTTTGATTTAGTAGAAAATTATAAAATAAGTAATATGATGTAGAAAAATATGTTTTTAGGGACCGAGATGCAAATTATGTTACAGTTTATAAAAAATACTTCCTACAAATTTAAATTTATAAAAACTTTACAGAAAATAATTTTAAATATTTATCAATTTTTTTAGATATTTTTTTAAAAAAATTATAATTATTTTCAAATAATTTATTTCAGACACAGAAAATAATTTATATATATATATATAATATATTTATAGTAAATTCAGTAAAAATAATTTTCAAATAATTTTATGATTATTTTTTTCTATAAATTTGCTACAATTTAACTAGGATCGTATATTATATAATTTAGCTAAGAAATAGCTTAAAAAATAATATAGTTAATATTTATAGTTAGAGATTAGTGATAAAAAAATTTCTTAGCTAAATTATTTTCTAGTAAGTGAGGGAATAGTTACAAAAATATTATCTTCTATCTATTTTACTACATATTAGCTACAACTTTATTTCTTTACTATTCTATAGCTAATTAGCTATAAATTAGTGAAAAATAAATTTTGTAGCAAATTTTCCTAGATAGTTGAAAATTTTCTTGTAGTGTTATATAAATTGTTTCCATCTTTTCAACAATAGATCGAAAACTGCTAGAAATATTTTCAATGGAATTTAGAAATTATGTGTATATTTGAAAATGAATATAACTTATAGTGGAGTATGAATTTCTATCATTCGTACTTCTTTCACTTCTTTATAAAAAACACTTTTCAACGATAAATAGAAACTGCTTGAAATATTCTCAGTAAAATATTAGAAATTTTGAAAATGAATATTTTCTCTTTAATAACTTTATATTGGTGTGTGATTTTTTTTTACTTCATATAATATCTTCATTTTAAAAAATAGATCATCTCTATAATTAATACTCATTCAAATTTAAAACATTTTTCAATACTAATATAATATTATTTTCAACTCATCATCCAATGTTTTAAATATTTAATATTCAAATAAAAATATAGATGCAATTTCATATTTTGAATTTTGTTTAATATATATATATATATATATATATATATATATATATATATATGAGTTATAATGTTTTAAGTTAAAAATTAATATATTATTATAGTTTTTTTTTCTTATCTAAGCTAATTAAAATTATATTGTCTATCTCAATTATCTTTAATTGAGATGAATATTTGAGAAAATTTTACATTATTTAGTAAATATAATTCATATATTTATTAATACTTTATTTAATTTTAATTGATTTTAAGTTTAAATCTATCTTACAAATAAATTATGCTAGAATAAGTTAATTAAAAAAATAAAAACAATAATATCTTGCACATATTATAATTACGGAATGATTAAAAAGTATATCATCATCACTATTTATTATTTAATTAAACTTATAAGGGAATTATCAAGCATAACACAAAAATTTAATCTTGACCCGCGATTCAATTCTATATATATAGTAAGTGGATAGTGAAATTAAGTTTTTGATTTCGAAAAGTTGATGGGAAAGTAGATAAATTTTTTGCACTTTTCTAAACTTGGATTTTATTTTTACGATGTATGAAGAGAGTGAAATAACCATTAGTTTATACAATCAGAGAAAAAATGCTATGTATATTTTTCAAATACATATTTTCTCAATTAGAAAATTTTGAATTGTTGTGTCTTTCTTTTAACATCATTTGCTTTCATCACCACTTTAATTCTTCATACTTTTGTTTTAATTACTTTTTACTTGATGGGGTTTGAGTTTAAATTTGCGTTTCTGCTCATCAATTACGTTTTAAATCCTTCACATATTATATTTCTTTAAATTTATATATACTTTTTTTAGTTAATTCCTTTTACTTAATCTCTTTTATTTTCATTCCATTACTTTAGCTTTTTCATTAAATATTTCTTTTTCTAATTTTTAAAATTTTATTATAATGCAAAACAATTTAAAATTAAGATAATGAGTTTATGATAATGATGAATACAAAAATGAATTATGTACTAAAATTTACAATTTTTTATAAAATTAATAAAGTTTCAAATAAAAATCAGTATTTGAATTGAATATTATATAATAACGTATAAAATTACTATTTCAACATATTTTATATGTATATACATATATACTAAAAAAGATATTTTTAATAAACGACTTATTATAACATTACTAATTCACATGTTATATATATAATTATAATTATTTCAACATATAAATTTGATACAGTTTCAAATATTTTATCACAAAAATTTCATCATTTTGCATAATACTTCGACATTTAAATTCAATACAATATATAAATATGAACATATATTAATTTTTAATTAATTAAAAATACACATAAAAAAGGGGGCAAAATTTAGCCACCTGTAGCTGCTGCGAAGAGGAGCCAGATTCAACAACTACACATTTCAAAAGTTTCGAGTGATTAATGAAAAAACAAAAAAACAAAAAAACATAGTCATAAAATTAACATAAATATAAAATATATGCAAATCTACGTTAATTAATATGTAAAGTATGAAACAAAATAAGATGTATAATGATATGCATTATCAACATTTAATAAATAAGGTGCCAAAAGAGAGGTAAGAGAATCTAATAGTATAATTATAATATTTAGATGATTAAATTTGCGCACTTGAAATTTGATAAAACTAAAATCAGAGAGATAAAAAATTCAATTAAGTTTTGATTTAGACTAGACACATTAAGCATGCTTAACAACTAAAACTTTATCATAGGAAAATACCCACCACCTTCGTCTGGACTAAAACGTCATTTTTAAAAGCGAAATTGGACAATATGTGTTTGCTAAATCATTTTTTTAATTAAGAAATAAACACATGCTGGTTATAATAATATTATTATGATTTATCATTAGTATAATTTTTCACTATGTTTGAAGTATTATTTTAAATTTTAATATGTGACAATTTTATCCCAAAAAAAATAGGTTAATAGGTTAAATGAAGAATATGTGTATTATACTTCTCAATCAAAGAAAAAAGAGTATAAAAGAATTGAGACTTTAATCTTAGTTTCATGGTGGACATCAATGTTTTGTTTTGGAACAAGAGTGTTTTAATCTCATATTTTCTATTATAACATCATTAGAATCTATCGTCACGTCCGAATTATTATTCGTTTTGAAACTATAATTCATTATGAATTTATACTTAAGAATTGTTGTTTTAGTGAATTAGAGGAGAAAATATATATAAGTTATCATTGGTCTCGACTATTAAACTATATGAGACCTTATCTTCTATTATATTGTTTGTTTTGAAACTCTAATTCGTTATGATTTTTATCTTTAAAAATATCTTAATGGATTAAGAGAAGAAAACGTATATAAGTTATCATTGATCTCGACTCTTAAATTATGCGAGACTTGTTTCTAACTATGAACTAAGGGTAGGAATGAACCAAACTCTAATCTTAACTAATAATGAACGTTAATCTTCCGTCTAAAAATAAAAATATTTAATTTCATATCTAATATAATATCATTATTAGAGTCTATCATCATGTTTGAGGTACAATTTTCCTTAATAGTTAAAAAATAAAAATATTATAAATTATTCTTAACTTAAACTTCTAAATTAATATAACTTGTAAATATACTATAACATAAATGAATAATATTTCTTAGCTTTATTTAAAATACAAGACAAAAATAAATATCATTATACACCAATTTTCTAAAATTTTTGTCTCGAGTTTTTAAATTTTTATTTTTTTCATTAACAAACTTTCTCATATATATATATATATATATATATATATATATATATATATATATATATATATAACATGTAGCCTCAAATTTATACTTAAATTTCAATATTAAAAACAAATATAATATAAAATAAGTAAAATGTATTAAAATTATAAATCACTCTTATAACAAAAATTCTTATAAATATTTCAATGGTATGTGATATTATAATAAATGATAATACAAAGTAAAAAATATTAATGACTTACCTATAATTAAGGTATGTTTTATTTTGGGAGGAAATAAATTGATTTGAAAGATTTTCAAATGTTAATTAAAATATCATATTTATAAAAATAAGAAAATTGAATAATATAGTAAGAAAATCTACAATATTTTTCTAATTTTAAATTAAAGGCGAAATAGTATGTATTTTCCTTGTAACATCGGGCATATTACAATTAAGGACACGATTTTTTTATTATTATTTTCTTTTTACACTTCTCCATTTTGTCCTTGCAAAAGTGCTGGGCGTGGAATTCAACAAATCTTTATCTTGTATTTTTTTTTTTAATGATTTGAATTATAACAATTGATATGTAATACTTATTTATTTCATAAAACTGGTGAGTAATAGATAATGAAACTTATTGTGTTATGAAAAACTTTAAAAGATAAAATAATAAATTCTCATAAATTAAATAAGAATTTCCAAAAATAAAATTAGTTTAATTTATAATATTGGTAATTGATTTTTCTCTTCATTCCTAAAATTCTTATAGATATAATTTATCCAAACGCATATTTAGAACGCATTACGAATTCAAGCAATTTCTGATTTTTATGCATATTAAGGTGTTTGCGAAACCAAATTTTTCACTATCGTTAATCAATAAAAGTTAATGAATATATGTTCCTTATCAATAGACAATTCCAAACAAATTCTTAAGATTTAGCAACTAATAACTTTAAGATTTAAGAACTCGATTGAAATTAACAATCACAAGTTCACAACTAATTTATGTTAGATATAATGTTTGGTGGAATTTTTTTAGTAAGTATTTGTAATCTAAAAAGAATAGGAAAAATAATTTCAACCTAGTCCATTTTGGTGGACTCATTTCATGATTAATAAATTATAATATTTGTTAAATGATCCCTTTAGTGTATTATGATTTATATATGAACACCACAATATTGAAAATAATGGACACACGCGCATAAAGATATGGGTATGCCATAAATAATATAGTAGATTACATAAACTTTGTGGTAAAAGAAACATAGGACTTATTCATGCATGTTCTAATATAAATGATATTTGAAAGGACAAAATTGTGATTTGTGAAACAAAGTTTGATAATAGAGATTATCTTATAAGGATAGTATGAGTATCCTGAATAAATCGATATCTTTTTAAGATAAAAAATCAACAATAAATAAATATATTTTATGTCTAAAAATATAGTTAATAAAATTACGAGTTTGATGTTCAAAAGTACAAAGGCATCGAGGCATCTTATTTTTATAATATTATTGTCTTGTTCATCTTATTTATAATTGATAAATATGTTCATCTATTATATAAAATTAGACAATTATTATTAAACAAAGTTTTTACATAGATTATTCTAGGTATGTTAGATCAGCTGTAGAATCGATGTAAAAAATTATAATTTTTAATATCAGTTGTTTATTGAAATAGAAAAAAAATTAATTTTATTTATTATTTGTATTTAAATTAAATAACTTTTATTTTTCTCTTTCAACATAAATAAATCAAATTAAATATTTTTTTATTTAAAAACTAAAATATACACTTAATCACATTTTTTTACTTTGAAAAATATAATTTCTCAATTTCAATATTATTACGTAAAAAATTAAAATCTAATATATTAAAAATTATTATATTAATAATAATTCCTAAATCATTTAAAAAATTAATTTAAAAAAATTAAAATTATGATATATAATATATAACACAACTTTAACATCAATTAAGATAACTAAAACCAATACACGATTTCTATGCAACATAATTTCATACATAAATTATGTTAAATACTAGGATTTATTTTAAAAAATAAAAAATGACTCGTTTTCTTCATAATTTATTTAGAACTTACTAGATCAATAAATTTGAATAAAAAAATGCAGAAATTTAATAATAATAAAAAAAGCTGATAATCCTTTTTCAAAATCAGGTAAGAATCTCATAGTCAATAATTTCATAAGTTAATTTTTTTAAAATTTGAAAACAATATAAAACTTAGAGGCTGTTACTTGAACCGTTTTGAAAGTTAAAATTTACTCCAAATTGATTCTAAAGAAAAAAGTAATGACAAAACTAAAGTTACACAAGGCGAAGTCTATTCATTTATGCCAATATTTAAGCAAAATTCATACGCAGATATTAAGTTGGACCTATTTAGAACCATCTCTCCCTACAACTAGGACTGAAGAGAAACCAAATGTTGCTTCACTTTTACTTTGAACTTTGATGTTGGAACTGACTGTATGGTACATTATCGGGTTTTTGAACATGGCCAAACATTCAAAAGAAAGAAAAGGCCAAAACTGCTAACTTAAAAAAAAACAAAAAAAAACAAACAAACTTGAAGATGTGGTATTGTACATCAATATCGACCAACTATGATAAAGTCATCATCATCAAGAACTTGAACATCTTTTTCTCCAACAAAATGGTCTCGACCCATTTTCTTCACCAAATTGACAAACTCTATCCTTTTATCCACAGGCAAGGGAACATAGGGTAGCCTGAAAACTGGTTTGATGACCCCAAGTTGAGCAAGAGCAGTGTTCAAAGCAATAGGGATAGGCTCTTGAGAAAGCCAATCAAATAGAGGAATCAGCTTTTAATTCAGAGTAACATTCTTACTTTCAAACATGAGTTCTCTCATCAAACCAGGAACCAAGTTGCCAGCAACAGATTGAACTCCAACAGCACCAAAATCCCATCTAGCATCATGGCTTATTTTATCAATTCCTGTCCATACAACAATCCCTTCATCTGTATACTGTTTGATCCTCTCAGTTCCCACACACTCCTTGACACCAACCAAATTAGAACTTTGACCCAAGGTTTGAACTACACTAGGAGGAATATCTTGATTAGTCCTTGTAGGTATGTTATATATGATGATGGGGCCTATGGCAAGTACACTGTTATAGTGAGCAATCAAACCATCCAATGAGGTTTTTCCATAGTAAGGGTTTATATGAAGTGCAGCATTCATTCCAACAGCAAAACCCCTCTCAGTGGCCTTAATTGCCTCTGATGTGCAGTTGCTTCCAGCATTACCAACAACCTTAACTTTGTCTCTAAAACAGTTAACTGTGTGTGCAATAAGCATTATTTGTTCACTCCAGGTCATTAGTTGGCCTTCACCAGTTGAGCCTGCAACAAGAATACCTTCAATGCCATTTGCTATCTGCATATCCACCAAGTTATCATATGCATCAAGATCAATTTTGCCGTTAGGTAGGTATGGAGTTTTAACCGCAGTTATCAATCGCAGACTCCTTGTTTCCTCAATCGATGTCCTGCTAGTACAGTACAGCTAAAATTTATTTCCATGAACAAGTTGCCACAAAGGTTACTTTGTATATCTTGAGATTTTCGTGACATATATAATTGCAAACTTTGGGTAGCAAGTGTAGCTTTGTCAACAAAACCAGCCAAGTCATGAAGCTAAAGAAGTATGAGCATATCTATATTTTTTAGCACATCATTTAAAAACTAAAATATACATGCCAACGTTGCAGATTTGTATTATATAAATTGTTATAAAACTGCATTACAGATCAAAGATACAGAACTTGATAGAATGCAAGGTAGGATATATTCCCAAACTAAATCTCAAAGAATTGAGTTAGAAAATCAATCCCTGAGGCTTCCAAACATTCTACCCAGAGAAGAGATTTCAAATGTTCCAACATATAGTACACATATACACATAATACAGAAAATAACTTCTTGTTGGAATTATAACAAATGGAATGTATACAATTTAACGGGATAAAGAATTTATATGGAAGAGAATATAAATTCATCATTAAAGTCCACCTTTTTCCCACTGAACTGCTCATTGAGAGGTGAAAATCAATTGATGAAGATGCTTGTGGAGGCTTCCAGCATATGCTCCTCCTGGGATCCATACAAATAAAAAATAGAGATTAAACTAACCAAAATTTGGATTAATAACCAAAAGATTTGGTATCTGTTCTTCACAGTTGGCACCAATCCCTGAGCTCGGTACATGATTGAGAAAAGATTAACGTTTCAGAACCTATCATATGAAACCGACCAAGATAAAAGATTATTCTCCAAAATAAACTGCACATAATATGCACTGCACCAACTATCATGGTAGACTCATGTCTCTACTAAATGTTAATTTCATTAAAAACTGCAAATTATAACTGCTGAAGAAACATTTGACAACCTCACACCAACTATCACCATACTTACATGATTCTAATAACCTCTCTTTTTCAGACACCGACGAAACAACATACATGCACACTGACCAAAGTCAGAATTAGAAAATTTTCGGAAACAAATAAAGATCACAGCACAGAACAAAAACCATCAAACCAAGCAATCATGTACAGAAATTTAAAAAATAATAATAAAAATAATAGAAGTTTACGTTTACCTCTTGCTACAACTGCTGGCAACGGAGCGAAAAAACACTGAACCGGGTCCTGTGAACGACATGAAACAACTACAGTGGTTCTTTAACATGGTCACTAAACCCGAACTGAAATTGATACTAAGATCCGACCCGATTGAAGCTCTGAGCTACGGTTTTGCTTCGAATTACTCCGAAAACAGAAGACAACCTACAGGGGATTCCAAGCGTTGACGAAGGTCTTAATCCTTAAATAGACTTTATCCATTCTTTGAAATAACTCAATTAAAATAATTCAAATTTAATTCTTGAGGTTTTATTTAGTTTTTTTTTCTAATTAATAAAAATTATATCTCAAATTTTCTTAATACTTCAGTTTCTTCCGCTAATATTATGAAGAATTTAACCATTTCAATTTTCAATTGTTTTCTCCAAATCCATTAGATTTTATATTTCATTATTAAAGTTGGATAGTTCAACACTAGTTACACCCGAACAAAAAATAACATTTTTCTCTCTTTTTTTCTCCTTTTTAATTTTTTTTTAAAAAGAAAAAACTTAATGTTATAAGGTAGATGAAGCTTTAATAAGCATCAATATAATATTTAATTTGACCTACTCTAATAAGCAACAACTTCTTTATTTTCAAACTTAACATCCAAAATTTTAGAATCCTTTGCTCAACATAAAATAGTGATTAACGTCAACTTTCTATAAACTTTTTTCAGCTATATTAATAAATAGATTTCCTATAGTAGCTTAATTGGTTGAAAGTATATAAAAAAATTTATACGAAATAATATTTGAAAATTAAACTCTCTTTTAGAATAAAATATTTTTCTTATAATTTATTAAAACAAATGCTAGAAATACGCTTCTACATATACTGTTTTTATTGTTCAAAATTTATTGAAAATTTATGACTATTTTTTTTGGGGGTAAATAAGTTAATAGTATTAAAAATATCTATATACTTCACTAATGATTAACAGCAAACCTAATATCACTCAACCTAATTTTTTGTGTTAATAAGACGCAAAATGTGAAACTTTGTTAACATACGAAGAAGTCCACTATCACTCCAATTAACAATTTTTTAGTCTACCCCTTTCTCGTGTGTGTGTGTGTATATATATATATATATATATATATATATATATATATATATATATATATATATATATATATATATATATATATATATATATATATAATAAGTTCCATTGAATATTTGAATTTATAATTAATGAATTCTGCATCTACAGTTAAGGGTCTTGGGCAGGGTATTTGCAAGTTGGTGGTGATGAACACCAATCCAAGTAGCAAGCAAAGTTGCTGCCACATTTTAAAGGCTGCTACTGAGGATAGGTCTAGTCTTGTGTGATTGAACTTAATCCATCAGCAAGCAGAATGTAATACTATATCAGATGAATTGAAGATAAACACAGAACCTTTTCTTCACTTTCAAGTTTCAAATGCATGTATTTATCACACCCTTTACCAACCACCACACGGCTCTTAAGACGTGCAAGAACCCAACCTCAAAACAATGCCAAATGGTTCACCTTACTGTTCATACTCTGAAAAATGTGAGAACTAGATTCCTTCAACCTCAATTTTTTCCCACTTTATCTCGTGTGTTTCTCTTTCTGTCTCATGGGATCAAATCATAATTTGAACTTTCTGCCTCGTTTTAAAATCTTCTTGCTCACTACTTCTCTCTTTTATGTTTGAACTTCTTCTACTTCTGCCCTGATTCCATCATAAATAATTCAAAACTAAATATTACACCCTTAAAGTCTAATAATACACTCTTTAATGTTCTATTCTAACACGCTTTTTCTTGTATCTGGATAAAATTCAAATCTTCACAATGCAAACTTGTCATATCAGCATAATCATATATCCTAAGTGAAATTAGTATCTGATTGATTTCAGTGGATTAGAGAAAGATAAAATTTATATGGGTATATATCAAACTAGCGACACTCACATAACCAATTAATGCAAAAAAAGTGTATTAAAGAGATACTATTAGAGATTGTGTTAGTATAACTATGTTGAATCCAGTTTTAGATCCTCATCCACCATATAACCAGAACTTCAACTTCTTTTGTTTGAATTCTCATGTTTCTAATTTCGTCTTTATATTTTTTTTTCTTATCATAAAGGTTTAGTTATTTACTTAAACACAAACCTAGTCCTTTTCATTGGCCATAAAATGGAAATATCATACTGTTTGGATTGAGCCTGTAATTGCAAAAACAAGATGCCCATATCCAAAATCTTTAACCTGTTCCCAATATTTTAGTTTAAACGATGTTTCTGAACTTGTCTCTTCCTATAGTCTCTTATTTTTTGTACCATTCATATTCGTTATAATGTCCTATTCAAGGGGAAGATATACAATGAACCTCGTATATACCAAAGCAACATTCGATAAGCATGACGTTTTCCTCATCCCTCAATTTAAAATTGCAGTTTAAGTTTTTTTAGGTTTTTAAAACTATACTAAGACTAAAATTGGTTTTTAATTTGAATATTACCATTTGAGAAATCAATATGCCTATGTATTTAGAAGTTAAATGTTTAGGTTTAAAAGTTATATATATGTGTGTCGGCATGACATTCACCTTATAAGGTGTTACACTAACCTTTTGTTTCCAAATGTATTGAGTTTACATTTTGGAAGAATAAAAGTCAAATAAGAAGATTGTCAAGATATAAAATCGAAATTAGTTTCTTTTATAATGACTACAACTTTTTCAATTTTTTTTTTTTGGAATACGTAATCCAAGTAGTGACGGATCTTCGTTCAATTGTTTGGGTATTAACAAATTTTGAGGTTATCTAAAAATTTTAGGGTATAAAACATGTAAAATATAATTTATAAAATTCAATTTATGAATTATATATGTTAAAAAAATATAAATGGAGTGTGAAGACCCTTTAACTCTTATGAAGGCCCGTCACTACCTGCAGATAAAGAATAAGAGTATATTTTGCCTCTATGAGCATAACATTTTCCATATACGTAATCAAGCCCTAATCAACATGGAGAGTGATCTAATTATTTATTAGCCATGTTAAACTTTGTTAGTGTTATATATTCTTAAATAAGTAAATTTAATCATAGATTAGAAAAAAAGAATAATTATTTGTGATAAATTTTGACCTAATATTAATTGATGATTTTCTCATCAACCAATAAGATTATTTACTTTACCTTCTAAAATAAGTTGTTCACATGAACCAAAGTTTGATATGGATTTATGATGCTACCAAAATTTTATAAATGTTTTCCACTAAACACTAAGCTGAAACTCTAGCTTGATATTCATATAAATTTTTGCAAATGCAATTAAAAATGTGTAGGCTACATTACTAAAATATTAAATAACAATAAACAGACAAAATACTAATCTCATGAAGTCATTTGAATTAACTTTTCACCTTCAAGGTTCTTTTTTCTCATAATCCTCCAATTATTTTTCACCTTTAACAAAGGATATCTCTCCTCTATCCAATATCATGAATACCATCCACAAATTTTAACCAAACACAAAGGTTGTGAAATTGTTATGCATAGATGGATGTTTATAGAGTTGAAACTTGTCGGGTTTGATCTACGGATTAAATGGCCAAGTTTTTATGATAAAAGACCATAGATGTCGGAGTAAACAAATTGGTGAAAAAAGACATTGATTATAATGGAATCTTATTATCTCATAAATTGTATTGTACTAGATTATTATAATGTAGTTCCAAGCTCCAAGTGATGCTCACCATGATGAAGCAGAAAGGTATAATCATCTAATCTAAAGCACAGTAGTCATGGTCCACCAATATGAACATTACAGATCTAAAAACATGTATAAAAGCTATTGATTATCAAACTAAGAAAGATAAAGAACTAAAGCTACGTGTCGGTTTTTATTCCAGGGTTTTGATGCTCTAAGCTAGCTAGACGTGAAGTGATAATTAACTAGAACTTGGTCCAAACAAAAAAACAGAAAAGAAAAAAAAAAAACATTCATAGTCTATGAAACTACTACACAAGAGCAGTTTCTGATTCTGAACGAGAGGACTCTAATTAAAGTGCTGATAAATTCAAGATTCTCTGGTTTCTTCTCTTTAGCGTAAGACATGTATATAGATTCAATAAAAAATGATGTTGAATTCAGTGTAATTATTAACTACAGATATGTGTTTGTTATCACGAGTCGTGGGATTTGTATCTTGAATAAGTGTAGGTTTTCATATCGTTCCAAAATATAATAATCTTCCTGATACTTTATAAGAAAAATAGTGTGTTAAAATATTAAAAAGCTAATATTATTCTCTCGTTAGATGAAAAATAAAAATAGTAAAATGATATTATAATGAACTAAGATTCATCCATAGAAGAAGAAGAAGAAGAGTAACTAGTCCAAGAAAATATATATCTTATTATTGCATGTTTTTCAGATGAAGAAATATGAAAACAGTGAGTGTGACAGTGTGTCCAAAATGGCTCCCTTAACACAAGAAATGCTGTGTGTAGACTTTCTCAGGCAGTGTTGTTCATTGTTGAGAATGATCTTTGGGAAGTGCCGATGTATGAAAAAACTGAGCTAGAGGAACTGGACAAGGCTAAGAATAGAATCCAAGGAAAAGATGGATGTTAATAAATTAACAAAGCACATAATGGCATTGGTGGAATAACAGTGTAAAGAGGTAGCTAGGGTTTCAAGGAGCATCTATTCCATAGTCAAGACAAAACTCTGAGTTTATTTATCTCTCTCCCCTCTTACCCTTCAATATTAATGTTATATATATGTATATGCATATATATATTAATATAGTATATAACTTACCTCAAACTTTTGATTTTACGTGCACCCTTTTATTTGTCTAATGCCAGTGGCACTTTAGGGAGAGGCTTTAACTCTTGCTAGCTCTTGAGGTCTGTTTGTTCCGGTTGTTGCCTCGAAAAGGAACCTTTTTTTTTTCCAGAGCAGCGCACGTGTGACCCAACACCCAATGCTCATCTCTGCCACCATAATACTAGTAAACCCTAATCACACAGAGACAGACAAAAGATAGTGAAGCCCATAACCCCCACCATTCCCCTTATTCCTAGAAATGCATGAATTTAACTGTCCAACATCTGTTACTTTCTAAGAGTTATCAACTTAATAATAAAATAACTGCAGCGATAAAAGGGGTGGTCTTCTAGTACTAGAATGCTTAAAAGGAGGAGAAAATATGTTATTCATGAGACATGGCAGTAATGATGGTGCTAATTTTGAGAGTATGGGTGTGGAAAGAGTGGGAGTTTGGATGTAATGATGGTGGTAGTAGAAGAGAAAGTGAGAGTGAGTGGTAATGATGGTTTAGTTTGTTGTTCTAAGTACAAGAGGCTAATTATTGTGTCCAAGACTTTTTCTTGAAATAGATAAAATTTAGAACAAGTTCATATACATGTAATTATGTTTTACTGTGGGGTTATTTTTATTTTTAGATCGTGCTTTAGAATCTGAATCTAGGTTCGGAGTTCTAGAAAAAAAAAAACTCCAAACGGCAAAAAGGCACAAATATGAAAGAAAATTTTGAAAAGAGAAAAAAAAAAAGGAAAAGAAAACAGAAAACCGTTCTCTTTTACTTCTTCCTGCAAAGATTGACTGATAAATTATCAGACAAGTTACTGTAATTGCAGAAAAAACATGAAGAGAGAGAGAGAGAATGCACATGCTATAGCTGCTGCTGCTGCTTCGTCACAAAGCAACTAACTACATAAGAACGAGAATTAAGATATGTATAATAATCATCAAACCCCACCGACAATTCATGAATTTATACATCCTTCTGCAACTCAACACCGAGCAAAGGCTTTAATTAAGAGTAAACTAAGTTATAATTAAGCAAGAAAGAGAATGAACAGTGAAGATGATTAAAGTCGAAATTAAAAAAGAGAGACACATAAACAAAAATAAAAAGAAGAAAACAAAGATAAACGAAAAACCCATGAAAGTAAAACATTTTGTTAAAAGGGGGGACGAGCACTGCCACCCCAATAACCCTCAGCCGGTAATTGAACCGAATTGAGAAGATTTTGAGGGACTCCATGGAAGAGAGAAGAAGTATTAGGATCTCCCACAAGCTGTTGTGGCTGTTGAGGCTGCGATTGCGATTGTTGCTGGTTCCCTGCAATTCCAGGGGACCCTAATCCTCCAGTGCCAGGAACTGGTACCGGAGTTTCCTCTTCTTCTAAGGGTAGTCTCTCATAGGCAGCATTACCAAATGAAGCAGCCATGATTACAACAGGACCTGAGGCCACAAGGGGACCCACCACGCTTCCACCTACTACCTGTCCCTGTCCGCCGGCTAAGTATATGGCTAGTCCTGACGCCGCTGGAGGAGCCGGCGGCGGAAGGAATGAACCAGAGAGCGACAGAATCTCGAACCTTCCATGAAGGGTCACAACGGCACCCGGTGAAGCTGGCTGCCGGAGGGTGACGTTGGTGACGGTGCCGCTGCCGCTGAGCACACAGACACCACGCTGTCGCCGTCTCGCGAAGGCGGTGACGCTCTCCATGATGTCGCAGCCGTTGGCGATTTCCATAACATGGGATCGGAGAGCGTTGGCACTGTCCCTTGTGATGATAATGGGTGGTTTGGGCTTGTTTTTGGACCCTGCGGGTCTTCCTCTTGGCCTTCTCGCCATTTCACTTCCTCCTCCATCTCCTGACCCGGGTTCCTTGCCTTCTCCGCCGGCGTGCGGGGGTGTGGTGACCCCACCTCCGCCGCTGCCGGCGTTCTCGTCGCGATCTCGCTTATGGCCGCGGCCATTGGCGGCCTCATCCTCGGTGTTTTGGTGGTTGTGGTGGGGCTGAAATTGGTGGTGAGGATGTAAGTGAAGATCTCTGGTGAGAAAAGGGGGAGGAAGAGGACGTCCTTGTGCTGCTACAGGATCCATTTATCACACAACCCTAGATTTTGAGGCCTTGAACAATGAACACCCAGAAGCCAAAAAGTTGAAGCTAATTGAAAAGACAACAAATTTAGATCTAGAAGGAGGTAGAGGTGGTGGTGGTGGTGGTAGTGTTCTCTCTTTTGTGGATGCTTGTTTGGTTGTCTTTGGCTTGTTTACTTTGAGGCGTTGGGAGCATGGTACTTAGTACACTTACCTTGAACATAAAAGGAAAGGAGAAGAAATTAAGGTTCTTTGCAAAACCCCACCAAAATTTGAGCTGAAAAAGGCACCATTTGGTGATTATGATCTGTATGAGTAGAGGGGTTTGGTTAATTTGATGATTGGCATCTGAAGCTAAGCTACCTTTATGGAAGTAAGGGAGAAGTAGTTCAGGGTTTGGAGGGAATAAGGTAATAAAGAGTTCTAAGAAAGGGAAAAGAGGGGAAGAGAAACGAGTTGGGGGGCTTTTGTGTTGGGTTAATATGGGAGATGGTGGTGCTATTTCATTTTTCTTTTTTCTTTTTTTTTTCCTTTCCCTTTTGCCTTTTTAGTACTTGCCTTAGTTGAAACCTCATTTGGGTTAGGGTTAGGTCGAAGGAATCGGATCGATGATGAATGATGGGTTTGATATTGGTAAGAAAGACAGCGTGCGCATGGGCGGTGTGCGTGGGCCCCACCCTTCTCTTTGAGGGTCCCATTTATTCAAGACTTCCATGCTTTGCTTCCTCTCCCTCTCTCTCTCATAACCTAAGTCTGTGTTTGTGTTTGCGTTTGAACTCCTTCTCCATCCAAAAAAGCCTGCAAATGAGAACACTCTCTGTCCTTAACTTATTGGCCAAAACCCTTCCTCCATAATCCTTAATCCTTACCTCTTTTGCTGTGATCTCTCTGATCACCTTCACTTTCAGCCACCCACCTCTCTCACTTTGCCTTCGAAACTCACTGTTGCTTCCTCTGATGCTTCCCAGAATCAGTATACTTCAAACTTCAGCCATTTCCCGTGCTTCTAAACCTCCTTCTTACATCATAATTTTAATATTCTTCCCATTATCATCTTCTAAACACCACTGTTTCTTCTTTCTAAAACTCTACTCCCGAGTATCATTCAAATTCAAACAAAATTTATAATCTATTATATTTATCAACTACTCCACATATATTAATTATATCAACACTTTTCTTTAAAGACCACAAGTATTCAACACAGTTCCATATTTTTAAATTTCAATACCAGACATTAAATTACGACAACTTATGTTAGTTGATTGTAGTTTAATCTCAGCAATTTAAATATGTCTATATTTTATGCTGAAAATCATACACGAACAACTTATCTTTTGTAAGGATTGGTATAATATACATATGCACATAATTTTATTATTTTGTTAGTTTTTCCATAAAACTAACTAAATGATATTAAAAAGTTGGTCATCATTGGTTCCGAATAAAAAACCAGGTACTAGGAGTTTCAAATGATTTCTTGAAGTACGTTCTTGATGTGTTGTTCTTGTCAAAACTTTATGTTTTGTTAATCATGAAATGATAAAAAGATTTGTTTCATGATATAATGTTATAGTTAATGATAAAAAAAATGTCATTAAAATAGATTTAGTTATGATAATTTTTGTTGAATGGTTATTTTATTTCATTTTGGATATCCCAACCAAATATCTTATCCTTGGAGTCCTTCATGGTCAATCTTATAATATATATATATATATATATATATATATATATATATATATATATATATATATATATATATATATATATATATATATATATACTTGAATTTCTCATTTGACTGTTTCTAACACACTGTTGATGTTAAAAAATAAAACTATGAAGTCAAAGAAAACCGTGTTCAAGAATCAGATAGTAAAAACTTGTATAAATAAAAAAGCACATTTTGACCGTGATAATGGCATAACGCTTAATTTAAAATTTAAAACATTCATTACAAATTAATATTTTTATCATAATCTTTTTCGAAATATTATGACTTTGACCTTAAAACTAGAGGGCGTTGCCTACGGGTTAAACTTTTTTTTATGTATTAAAAAAGAAAAATATAGTACATGTATTCACATTGTAAATAAATGTTAACATGAATGGCAATTTTTATTAGATAATTATTTCAAATAATTTTTTTATTAGAGTTTAAAATCTTTTACATTGTAATGCATTGAAATTAAACTCATTAAATAAAATTTGCATCTTAGTTATTATTGAAGGGCAATTGGCAGAAGCATTTGACAATCAGAAAGCCACTCTTCACGAAACAAGACATATGAAAAAGTGACTTTATGGCTATGAACAGAACCTTGATTAGCTTAAGGTTTAGTGTTTATTCATGAATTATAGTATTTCACCATGTGAAAGAAAAACATGCAAAACATTCCAAAAGGTTGGATCCTTGAAAGCACTGGATTATTATTCAAAACTCTGATTCATTAATTTAATCATTTTTTAATTAGTTGGTTTTATTCCCTTCAATGATTTTAATTGACCGTTATAATTAAGAAGATTTCTGGTCACTATAATGTCTTAAAAATTTTGGGTTAAATTTCAGGAATAAAGAACTAACTCACAAAGGTGTAGTAATAAATTAATTTAAAAGAAAATTGTTTATTATATTTCATCATCAATTCTCTCACATCTATTATATTTATCCCTGTGGTAAAGTTTAACCTAAGCATGAGTCATATAATATTGGTTTTATTCTACTTAAATAATTAAAATTATGATGACTATACATGGGAAAGTATTTGTGTAAATTTGAATTCATTGACGTTACTTTGACTTAAGTTCAAACGTATAAAATAGGGTCAGGTCAGTTTTGAAAAAAAAATGGACAATTGGCTTATAATATCAATAAAAAAACTTATTTATTATAAGAAATTCAAGTAGATTATTTAATGAAATTTTAAATTTTAAATAAATATTATCTTAATTTTTTAATATTTTACAATATCGTATAGTTTTAAATATGCTGTACACAAATCCAATTCAAAACGCTAAAATTACTAATGCAAATGTTTTTTTCATTAATGTGTTATTTTAGAATCAACATTAACAAATACTATATTTTATATATTTTAATAAGCAACGTTATTAATTCATTTAACTTAAAAATATTTTCTCTCTTTTGTTTATATTATATCTATATTTAAAAGACATGTTAAATAACTTATAAATATAATTATTTATGTAAGTAACTTAATATTCATAATTGTAAATTATGTAAAAACTACTATTAAGTAACTTATATATGTAGTTTAAATATATATATATATATATATATATATATATATATATATATATATATATATATATATATATAGAGTGTGTGTGTGTGAGAGAGTTTATTCATCGTGGCATAATCTCAAAATATATAAAAGAAATTTAATTAGTCGAAAACCCTTTGATAAAGTTTGTGGATTAACATTTTGAAGTCAAGTCGCGCAATTATACATTTTTTAATACAAAATTAAAAGAAAAAAAATTGAACTTAGTTTATATGATTTTTAAATTAATTGACCCGAGACTTAATACTATCATGTTTCTTTTAACGTCATCTAATTTAGCCCTAGTGTTCAATCAACTTTCATTTTAAACACTTTTAGAAAAAGGTTAGATTATTCACTGTAAAAGAAATACCTGTCAAGATTTGTGTAAAAAGTTTGACTGATTTAACTCAATCAACAACTTCATTTTTTAAGCTTGTGTAAGAGTTTTTTTTTTTAAAGGGAAATTATTTTATTTCTCTGAAAGATAGTTAATTAGGTTTCTCTTTCCTATATCTAATAAATAGAAATAGAGGAAGTCACATTTTTTTTATCATTGAGAAAAATATATAGATTATTAAATTATTTGTAAACATTAAAAATAAATAACATGCTATTAAAAGTTTATATAATTATTTATTAATTTTACATTTTTAGACATGAAAAACATAATTGGTAAAATCTAAATATTTTCAACTTAATTTTTTTTCAATATTAATTTTCAAATATTTTTACACATAAAATTTAATATCTCCTATAAAATTGCTGTTAAATGTCCATATTTTTAATATCAGTTCTTTTATAATTAATATTAAATTATCCTAACCTTTAATGTTTTTTTAATAATAATTTTAAAAAATTAATATTATATAAATTATGGAACCGGTAACAAATATTATTATTGTAAAAATAACATATTTATTAAACTCAATAAATATGAATATAAATACTTTTCAATTATATAATAATTTATAATTAGATTTTTGTATAAAAAATATTTATTTAACATTAAGAAATTATTAAATAAAGTAGGATAAGATTTCACATGCGCATTTAACATATTATATGCTGAATATTTATTGATTTAGTTGATGATGAAGTTTCATAATAAAAATTTATACATGTTGATATATGCTACCTTCTGGTTCATTTTTTTCTCCTTTCAATGTGAGGGTGTGAAGAAATATATACAAGACATAAAATTTTAACCTTTTTTAATTATTGAACATTTCACAAAACCCAAAAGAAAGTCATACCGATGAACCTTTGAGGTTATTTATTAAAAATATATATTTATTTGATATCTATCCAATATATTTAATTAATTATCTTGAGTGAAATATCTTCTCTAATATATTTTTTTCTATTTTATAAGGTATAAACATAAAACTTTAAGTTAAAAACTGGTATCCAATAAAAATTGTTCGTCTAACATGATGTTGTAAATATGAGATTGATGATCCTAAGCATTTTATAATTTTTATATAAATTTTTTCTTTCCTTAAACATTATAAGCATATGTGTTTTAATAATAAAAAAGTTTTGAAAATTATTAATAATAAAAATATATTCAGTATATTAATATTATTTTATTTATGATTGTGAAAAATGTGAAAGAGACATGTGGGTCTATGGGAAATTGGAGAAGGGACCCATTACCACAATTAAGGTGAGTGAGGAGACTCAGGAAACTGTCTTTAACTTGTCTTGTTTTTAGCGTCTCTCTCTTTCCACGTGGTTTCGACCTTTCTAGGTTTGTGGGCTCCACTTCCTTACGTGTCCTTTCCCCACCCTCTAACTTTTTTTTATTTTTAACCTGGTATTTTTAGTTTTAAAAATTATTTCAATTTTTATGGGTATAAAACTATTTTTACTTTATTTTTTACTATTTTATTAAACTCATCATCACACATGTCGTTGATCTTTTTTTGAGATAAAAATCAATTAGACCAAGTCTCTACTTAAATTTAACTTCTTCAACTTTAAGTTAAATATTCAGTTAAGTCTAATTCATTTAGATAGTTTGGTTGAATTCAAAAACAATATTATATATTTCTACTTTCCTTTAGAAACTACAACCTAAATTTACTATATAATTTAGCAATATTAGTATATTATACAATGACTTTTATTTAATACTATAATACTCTTATGAATATGATTATTTTTAAAAATTTATTGCAACATAAAATTGACACAATTAGTCAACCACCACATTAGGCAAAAATTAGAGCCAATTTTTATAATGTGTTTTAATCATAACTTATATTATATTCGATAACGTAGTTATAACAATATACTTTATTTTAAAATGAATTGAATTAAAAATTAAATAATCCGACAAATTTTATTTTTATATTTTTCATACCGTCAATATTATAAATTAAATTTTTGATGATGGTAAATATACCATTCAATATCTTATATATTTTATCTTATGTTTGCATAAGGAATTTATAATGAGTAATTTATTTTAATAGAATTTTTGAAATCCTTAATAATTTTATATAGAATATATGAAAAATAATTAAAATTTTAAAAAATTGATGTAGGTATTTTGATTTTCTAATTTTAAATTCTTCAATTTTTTTATATTGATTTAATAGATTATATTATTTATTGTATACTAATACAATTCAAGATTTGATAGATGATATTTATTGTATACTAGCACAATTTTATTTATTTTGTTTCAATTATCTTTGTAATTTAATTTTTTATTATTAGATTTAACTCAATTAATTAAATAAGATTTCACTCATCACAATATAATTTATTTTAATTAAAATTATTTTAGTGTTATTTTAACTCAATACATCTTATGTTGATTATTCTAACATATTTAATTTTTAATTTCTCTTATTAATTTACAATCTAACTTAATACATATTAATCTAATCTAATTCATTCCTACACAAACTAACATCACTTGACTCATCCTAACATATTAGTCTAACTTGACTTAACTAAATATTCTCAACCTTATACACTGAAATGGTTTTTAAATACTACAGTTAAAAATAAATTGTTTCGAAATGAAGAAAATTTAAAATAAATTACCATACAAATTAAAAAATGTTAATTATTTAAGATTTTCAGATCATTAAAAAATAATAATAACACAGAATAAATAAGGTGTGCTTTTACTAGGGATTATATAAATAAGAAGTAACTTTTTTTATTTTTACTTGGGTGAGTGATGGGATGTGAGGCACCGTTGGATGAGGGTCCCACCTTACCATGCTCACAGGCAAATCTCCAACTTATTGCACGTGCATGCATCATACTCTGCACTTAACCCCACAACCAAAACCTACTCTTCTTCCCTATCATTTCAAACTTTTTCAAACCAAGAATCACAAATTAACTTTCTTTATTTCAATCTTATTCAATTTTTCAATCCACATGTTTAAATTCTACACATTAATACTCAGTAAGAAAATGGGAGATAAGTTTGATTTACCCTTTTTTTTAATCCTCACAAATTTTAATGATTAAATACTAAATAATAATGGAAATGTAAGAAATAGGTATATTTTTAATCTAAATAGAATGGACACACGTAACTATATTATCTATTTAAATATATTTGAATGACCCGTTCTTTTCACGAGGTTGTATTTAATTCTATCTTAGTTGGTTCTGGATATAATATCAAATAAATATATATATATATATATATATAAATAAAGAAATAAAACAGTGTACATATTGATTATGAAAGTAATGAGATTGAAATATGATGTGACCGGTGAGTATAGGAATGATTGCAAATTATATATTAAAAAAATAAAAGTTTGATCATAAGAATATATATAAAATTCTTTTTTCATGGTATACCAATTAAGTTAGCACACCATGCAAACATCCTGTTACAAAATTATATATTCAACAAAATAATAAAATATAACGATTATGGAAACTAAATCAAAACCCATAAAATTTTATATTATTAAAAAATTAAATACGATAATTTTGTTAATATATATTATTTAAAAAAATAAAATATAAATTAAAATCTATATTATAACAAAAATATTGGATATTTTTAAAAGGATTAATATAGGAATATTCTATTAAACACAAATTATATATTTCAATATATAATCTTAAAACATTAAATTATAAATTTGTTTATTACAAATTATTTAACTTTTTTCTTTTTATTTAATATGAGATTTTAATTTATACTTAAATTTTAAATTATGATTAAAAAAATGAAAAACATGAAAAAAGAAGAAGAAGTGAAAATCGTATAAACAATTTTCTAACATATGCACACCAATTGATTCTATCACTATCTGTGAATATAAACACTTTTTAACATAATGTTATCATGAAATAGTTTAAAAAAACTTCAATAATCCATCTTTGAAGCAGTAACCATATTTTAGACGGTATAAACAGGAGTGAATCAAATAAGTTAAAAAGTTAATTAAATATTTTAATCAAGTTGAAAATGTTAATTGTCTCAAATACATATGTACAAAGCTCGTTTAACTTTTAACTTAACAAAATATTAGCAAGTCAAAAACTAATTAACTATTTTCCGACACAATTAAAGAGATAAAAAATTATCCCAATTTGAAATATGATTTTTTTTATGCATAATTTTGGAAGCAGAATATTTAGATGAGAAGCAATAATATATAAATATTATACTCTTAGTTGATGAAGAATATTCGTTGGGTCATGTTTGGTGAATGTGAATTGGATGAGTGAAGAAGAAGAACGAACGTATCTTTTGTGTCACTTCACAACACATTGGCTTGGATTGAATTCATTGGATTCCATTTTTTCTTTGCTTATATATATAAAGATTCTTGCTTCCTCTATCATTAGCATGCACATTAGTAGTGCAGGTATATCATTTCTCTTATTTGTGTTTAACCATTTTACATTAATTATATTTTAAACCTGTTTAATATAATTACCATTTTACATTGATTTTTAAAAAATAAGTACTTATTTTAAATAATTAAATAAAACTGCTAAATTACATTAAATATGTTAAACCAGAAAGATTACCTAATATTTTTTACCAAGTTGAAGAAGGTCAACCGTGAGATTAAATTTAAAAATTTTTAAAAATTGATAGATTAAATTTTGAGTTGTGATTTTAAGATGATTAAAATTAACTTTATTTAAAAAAGAACATAGACCTATTTAAAAAAAAAATACTATGAATTAGTATATTTAAAGATAAATGATAAGAGATAGTATTATCGTCCTATATACATATATAATTCCCCACTAAATCATGGTTTTCAGAAAAATACCTAAGAAGCAGGTCTTATTAAATTAGTATGGACTTTTAATTCAGTGACCCCTTTATACAATTTATCTTAATTTTATGATTTTTTATTTTATAATTTTACAAAAAAAATTATCTATTGATTTTATCAATATCAAAATTTTCTTTGATTTTACTCTTCATGAGCTCGTTTTGACTTTTTGTCAACTTTTTTTTTTTTAACTTTATAAATTATGAGATTACTAATTTTGATCCCAAATTTATTTGAAATTAAATAAAATAGAGATAAAGATTTTTCTTCTTTTGTTTTATAATATGCATCATACATACTAATAAATACTTGACCTTTTGCTAATCATAGGTATCTTGATATAGTAGAAATCTCAAAAACATTTTTTTAAATAAAAAATCATGTTTGAATAGACAATTTTAAAATTACATTTTTATTTTCTAGAAAAATAATTAAATATAAAAAATAAAAGACATATTTAAAGACGGTTTTGGATTTTGGGTGTTCAGGTAGGAAGGAAATGATACACATGTCTTAAGTTTGGATTTTGTTTGTGCAAGGTTTTCAAAAAAATTTCTTGTTTTGCTTTTTGTTCTTTTTTTTTTTTTCACCTTTCACCAATATGATTTATTTTTACCCAATTTGATTATTCCTTTTTGTCCATTTTTTTGTCGTCATTGAATTCAAAGGAGATATTATTAAAAAAAATGGCATCATTGACCTACAATCAAAGGTGCCACAAATTAAAGGTGGGTTTTCATGAATTGTTCCTTTCAGCATTTGAATATTACATATTTGGAGGAAATTTTTGTTGAGAAATTAGAGAGATAAGAGGATATTTATTAATGACTCACAAATTAGTAAAATAAAATAATTATATTTAACTCAAAACTCTAAAATAATACGTTTCTGATTTTTGTTTTCACTTATATTTTACATTTTTTTATATTAACCAGATGTGAAACTCCAATTCATAATTCAAAACAACAAAACATGTTACACTTTATTAAAACTAATTAAAGTAAAAAAAACGTATGTTTTGGCTATTAGAATATATATAATATTATAAAAATTTGTTGAAAATAATATTATTTATAAATTAGGTCCAAATTTTTAGAAAGATTATAACCTAATCATTTTTTTTAATTATTACATGTTATTTTGGTGTATATCCACTAACTTTGTCAATGTTTAATCTTGATGAAAAACCTTAGAATAACCATTTTAATGGTATCTTTCTCCCAGCTTTTTTATTCTTTTCACTCACAGATTTGAAGAAATTAACTTTGCTTGAAGCTTTGGATTTTATATGTAGAATTAATTAAATTATATGATTTGTAAGTATTTGAAATATACATTTAATGTTTTTTAATTAGTTTTTTTAATTGAGTACATAATTTTATATTTGTTTTTTGATTGAGCTTTTGTATCAAAAAATTTGTTGCTGAAATTAACCACAAGGACATAATTAATTACTGTAACCAATATTATCCTCTATGTAACGTAAAATTAAATGTAAATGTAAAAGACTCAAAAAGTAATTAAAAAAAACAATTAAAAATATTATCAGAAACACATAGAAATTAATTCAATAATTCAATATTCTCCTAGTTTTTATTCTTTGAAAAGATTTGACCAATTATGTGGTTGTGGATCAAAAGATTTGACCAATTCATGATGTGGGGATGTTGGTAGTTGAAACCCTACAATCAAATATCATTCATTTGTATCTTGTCGCAATTTAACAATGATAAACAAGAAACTTGTTTCTATATATTAAAAATATAAAAAATAAATATAAAAACTTGGCCTCTTAGTATACCAATTGGTGAAATGAATTGGTCAATCCAAGGAAAAGGCAAAGAATTCAAAATCATCACTTCCTTCCTCTTTGTTATTGTAAGAAATATTAATTAATAATTGGAAAATATAACTTTTACTAACAAAATTATTATCATATTCATTATAAATTACAACAAAATTATAAATATAAAATATATTAAAAGGAATAAAATGAATAATAATTAAAATAAGATAAAAATATAATAAAAATTATTATTATTTAAAATTTACGTAATTAATATAAGATACAAAATTAAAATATATTATATTTTTACAAAAAAATACTAAAAAAATTGATTTTTAAATATTTTATCAAAACCCATTCGATTTACAAATTTAATAAATTTTATCCTGATTTAATTAAAATAATTATTAAAAATAATAGATTGATTTTAGAGTGATTGATTTAACGATCGTGGGTGTTGAGAAGAGAGTTAGTTGGTCTTGGTAAAGGTCTCTGTACTTGAGTTGTGTGCATATGGATGAAGAAAAAGGTGAATTAGTATATTAGAGAATAAATAATGAGAAGGTAGAGGAGAGGGAGGTGGAGTGTGAAAAATAGAGAAGAGATGAAAGTGAAGAATAAATGCGAGAGAGGTGTAATTTTGACTGAGTGCATCGTCTACAGTGCTGTTGGTTGAATGGCTAACCAAGGCGTGTGGGCGTGAATGAAGGAACTGTTACTGTGCTGTTGAAGCAAAAACATCAGAGACTGAGAACGAAACTGAGAGAGAATGGCGAAGAGAGAGAAAGAGAGAGGAAGAGCACGAGTGGCCTTAGGGGCCCAATCATACCCCACATTACTGCCTCTTGTTTTGTCATTTCCGCATTTTCATATTCCACTCTGCACCTCCTCAACATAAAACACAGACAACTTCTCAGTCAGACACTGTCTCTGTCATCACCATCTTGTCTCTCCAACTATCCCATATTCCACGTATTCACAACACAACACAACACAACGCAACACTTTCATACAATATACTCTACATTTATTCAACCATCCTTTCACAGATTTCATCTTTTTCTTGGCATCATAACAAATTTCACATCTTTTGTAAAACTGTCATGCGTCTCGTCAAATTTTTGTGGTAAACACTTTCGTGGATGTTCAGTGTGCATGATTTGATGATATTGTTTGTGAAACATATATGTTTAGGGTAATTTAATTAGGGCAGAATTATTTGCACGTAAAATCTGTGTGTGAAAATGCTTACTTTAATATCCACTACTTCAACTTTACTTGTGGCAGTGTTGGATAAAGTTATACCACTATAATATTTAATGTTGACACTTAACATCTGATTATGTTATAAAGTATGGTATTATTTTTATCTTTTTTAAACATGTCAATTAAAAATTATTTTGAATATAAATTGGAGGAGTTTGCATGTGTATGAATGTGAATTTTTTCAAGTAAAAATAAATATTGATTTAGTTTAGAAATATTTTGGTATCTTTAATTTATTAATTTGATTTTTGGGTGAACATTATTTGACTTTTTCTATTAATTTTTGGAGGTTTTCTTTGGTCAGAGAAGTTAAAATAAGAGAAATTAGTTTTTTTTTTAATTTTTATAAATATTTTAGACTAGAAAATATAAAATGTGAAAGTGACTTTGTATTTAAACTAATTAAGTTGACTCATCATCATATTTAAAGTAATATTAAAAATGCTTAAATTTCACTTAGTACTTTTAAATTTTCTTAACAGATTTGTGACAGTGATGAGTGTTAAATCCTGTAAAGATTTTGCTTAATAAAAATTAGAGATAAATGAATTTCTAAAATATTTGTATAATCTCCTTATTCATTAAATTTTGTTTACCGGATTTGAAATCCCTTCAACTCTTTAGATTTTTCACTCAACTATTTTCTTAAAAAAAATATTTTTTAGAACTTAAAGGATTTAAAAGGTGTCTCGTTAATTGAATGAAATTAATTATTATATATCTTTATATTTAAAATATTAAGTTAAATATTAAAATTTGATTAGATGATATTTTTAAATAGGGTCACGAACTATATTGAAATAAGATGTATATGTTATTCTTTAGTGTAAATATGATAGTAGTAGGGTATATAAATATTAAATTGAGAATTTGATAAGAGATTATTCTAACTTTACTTATTACACGAATAATTAGAAATGATAAAATGAGATAAGTTCATAGACTGAATCGCCAATTCACCTAAAATTGGTGGGACATGATCCATGAACCTATTTTTAAAAAATATTTATATATTAAATTACAAAAATATAGAATTAAAAATATTATATATTTTTTTATATTTTTGGAACATACAAACATATTATAATATTAAAAATTAAATTATAAATACTAACTAATTAAACTTAAATTATTTATTATAATTAATTATTTTAATAAATAAATATAGTAATTTCTTAATTTATCTAATAAAAATATTTAATTAAAAATAAAAGTTTTAAAAATATTCATATAAATAAATGTGTATTTTTTTAAAAATATATATATAAAAAAATATCAAGAAATTGACATCATTAACCTAGCCTAGTAACCTGCTCTATCTTAGTTTTGGTAGACTAGAGACATGCTAAAAAGGACATTTTTGACACCCATAGGAACACCATAAAAGTGAAATTTTATAAAGGTTTCACTTGATTTAGGGTGTATACACATGTTACTAGATAAAGTAATAGAATTTTATCTTATCCACACAGTGTATATATAATTTAGAGTAACTCACTATTAAGTACTTTAGGGAAATTATAATGTAACAAGCGCATAATATTTGAATCTATATTTCATTGTTTAGTCTTCAGAAAGCAGTCCAAACTATGTGTAATGAGATAATTGACTTGTACCTGTATGAGGCAGTGTATCAACTTTTGAATGAATTTGTGTATTGTTTTAATATATGTGAAAATACATGTAAGTAATGTCTTATAACAAGTTTTAATTTGATATATTTATTTTGAGTTACTATTTTATTTTATGTGTTGTTTTTAAATTGTGATGATAGTGTATTTATACTTGAACATATATTGCAAGTTAATTTCAAATTAGTGTCAATGCTAAATAATTTCATTTATAAAAAATAAGTTCTTAAAAGCGTCACTATTTATGTCTTAAAATGTGTGTTTTTTCTTTAATAATTAATTAGACTTCTTGCACTCTAACATACTTTCACCTTATCCTGTTGTACTCAAGAAATTAATTATCCATATTTTTTACCATATCGTTCAACTTTATTATAATAATATATGTTTTTATAAACACACTAGAACAACATATAAAAATATATATTTTATTTTAGTTTATTTTTCACACATCATCGTTCTAAATAATTTTATATTATCACCAAAAAAATCATCACAATTATTAATTACGTTTTAAAAAATTTGTTATAAAAGTCAATAAACTAATCATACATAATAATTTGTGATTGAATAAAGACAAATATTTCTTTATAAGTATATAATGTTTAGACCTAAGAACTTATATAATCTTAATAAATCTTTAATTACTAAGCCAAACCTAGCTGGTAATATATATATATTTTAGTTCATTAAAAATATAAACAAAATAGATGCTATTAGGTTTAATGGAACAATAACTTCTAAATATTTTTCTCGCAAATAATATAAAATTAACATTTATATTACTATTAAAAATTGGAATAATTAAGATTGTAAATCTATCTCCAGATTTATGGAATTATTAAGTTCAAAGGTGGTTAACTATGATTGTAGGTTTGGCGTGTGTACAATTATACATCTCTGGTCTGTAATACAAGGTTTCCGTTTTGGTTTGACTTAAGAGAAATTAATAAATCTCGACTAATAAAAATTAATATGTGCACTAATACATAAAATTAAAATATTAAAAAGTGGTTTGAAGAATTGAGACACAGTTTAGGATCAATCAATGTCTCCTATAATTTTAGGACCTGAATAGAAGTCTAGAGCATTATTTATTTTTAATGACACGACTTTTCTTCGTGTTTTTAAAACATGTACTCATTTTTTCTTTTTTAAATTTATGGAAAATATATTACAATATATAATCAAATGATTTGATGATTATGCTGACTTGCCGTTGATAACTAAGTTTATATATATAACTTATCTAGAGATTTTTTAATAATATAATTATAACAAACTAAAGTTTTAAAGTATATAAAACGTTTTTTTAAATAGATCTTAATAATTTGGGTACGACAATGGAGCGAGTTTTGCCTAATTATATTTTTGCCTCAACTTTTTTAAACGTTCTAATTAGGAGTGTCAATATAGGTTCTAATCCGTAAGTTAATCCGACTCACCACAAATTTGAGTCAAGTTAGGTTTAATTTTTTTAACTGATTATGGGCTAAAAATGAATCTGTTTCACTTAACCTACGAGTTAAACAAGTTCGAACCAGATTATGGTAAGTTGGCCCGCAATCCATCATTAATTTTAAAATTTAAAAATAATTATAATAATATACTAATACCAATTAATTATTTATTTTAAATTTTACAAACAATTATAATACTTTAATAATCCTAATTGATATTATCCTGTCTTACATCTACCCTACATGTTCATTACAGTCACAAGCCAAACCCTCACTCAAGCTTGTTATCAGTGGTGCGACCATTACGCTTGCTGCTGCACTTGGGTCACTTGTCTTATCATTTATCCACCGCACCACTACACAATCGTATCCAGCGTACCGCTTTCAAATAGGCATGGCAATTAAACCCGTCCCCGCCCCGAGTTTGACGGGGAAAACCCGAGTTGACCGGGGGCGGGTTCGGGTTTTCCCGCTTTAAAAAGTCGGGGTGGGAATGGTAATGCAATCCCACCCCGACCCAGACCTCGTCCCCGATCCCCGCCCGACTTTATATTTAAATTTAAATTTTAAAATATTAATATTTTAAAAATATTTCTTTTTCTTTTTCTATTACATATAAGGTCATTTTTTTATATTTCACCAAATTTTTTTTCTTCAACCCACTTTTTAATTTTTTTGTCTTTTTTAATCTTTTATATCAATTAATTTATTACATTATTCTTTCTCTTACCTTTCAGTTTTTCACATTTCCTTAATCTTTCACATCAATTTGTTTTTTTTTTCAATCTTTTCAACTAATTTGATGAACACAAAGTTAATTTTTTTATTCTTTATCTTTTTCTAAATTTTTTACATAAATCTTAGTAGTAACTAATATTATTTTATTTATAATTTATATTTATTAGGTTTTATTATGTCATTTTTTTATCTTATTATTCTTATTTATCATATATCAAATTTTATCATAATAAAATAATTGTATTTTAAAGGATTAAAGGAATTGATAATTTAAATTTTTATTACTTCGAACTAATTGAATAAGAATTAACTTATTAAATATTTCCTTATAAACTATATATTTTATATTTTTAAATGACAACTTAAAAATGAATTTAACTTATATATATAATCAAATGTTTGAATACAGTATTATAAT